CCCAACTGTGAATGGGTACCTCGTTAGGATGAGAATGCCACAATAACATGGTGTGCCTAGTGGCTGCAAGAGTTGTATACTCCCCAGGGTGTTGAGATTGATAATACGATGTGCCGTTGAGATTGACATCCAATGATCGAGGGGAAAAATACCAGCGCCTTGAGCATGCACTAGTTGCCTGGATATGTGCGCTATATAAATACCCTATAATAATAATATAATCTTTTGCCAGACATGGGGTGAAATCTGCTTTGACAGCGTGGAATCTGGTGCCTGAGCTGACTGACGCCCTGTTGACACTAGCATCTGCTCCAGCATTTGATAGGTTTGTCATCAAGATGTATGGCAAAGCAAGCAAGGATACTCATATCAACAGTACCAGATAGTCTATGGTCGTGAGGAATAATTCTTTACCGACCATACCTCCAAAGCGCGCTGTCCTTGAGCAGCACATCAAGAGAGCCGTCTAGCAAGGAGGACTTGTATGGGGGCACACTTTACAGTCCAGCCAGAACTTCCATCTTCAACTGGCTCGGGTTGGATCAGGAACGACGAAGGACTCTACAAACTCTTTGGGACAACACTTCCAGAAGCAGCAAATCATGCCCAGAATTGGTTTCATGCAAATACAATAAAGACTGCAACAATCGCTGTACCTGCAAAAAGCCTCCCTTAAGTATTCATTATTGTGTTTGTGCCAAGGCGTTAGAAAGGGTCAGCATTGATGTGATTGTAAGTCAAAGTCTTTTCAAAAACATAAGAAAATGTTTGAAATGAAAATTGTTAGTTTCAGTGAAATTTGTCATTTTATTATTGAAATGTTGCGCATGCGCAGAACAATGATTATTTCTAATTCCTCCTTATCTTAAAATGATCACTACATATTAGTGAATATTTGCGCCAAGTTTGGTGCTTTTATCAAATTTTTCACAATTATTTTGCTAAGCAGCATCACATCAAAATGCGATCAGTATCATTTGTTGGTGTTTCCAAAACATACATACGCTCCGAGAACATGACAGTAGTGAAGGAGAATGGTGCATTTAAAAAGTGTACATGTCAATATGCATAAACTGATGGCCATGGTGTCCTCCCATTAGTCATGTATGGTGGCTGATTAGGGCCATCGCTTTCTCGCCTAATCGGAGGCCCTAATCAGCCACCATAGTCATACATCCCTCTTGTCATACGGGTTAAAACAACATATGATATGGTTGACTGCACCAACATCTACCTTTGTAATACCTTTGTAAAAATGGAATGATCCAAGAAACAAAAATACAGCTTCACATCAGTGAACTTTCACAATCTGTCTTCAGCCCTGTCCACCCGAGAAAGCCACATTTGAAAAATACCAATTGCCGCTAAAGCCACATTTTAAGTACAAACCTCGGTGCCGCGAATCGCCGCGAAAGCCACACTGAGTAAGGGAATCATTACCGTTTTCTCAAATTAGCGTCACCCATTGATCACAATTGGATTGAAATTGTTTTTGTGACTTGTTTAGTTACCATATTTTTATGATGGGCAGCTTCTATATTCTCGTTGATGTTTTTAATTAACATATGATAACATATGTTCTGAGATAAAATGATACATGCTAATGGTCTTTCTACGGGAAAGGGCAATTCAGCTTTTGAAAATTTTATTTGTATTTTTTGTATATTTTAGGCCTTCATGTAAACTTCTAGTACTTTGGTGTATTCCATCAGCAGAGAAGTGCAGACGAGAATTTTCCATAAAATGTATTGTGACGTTTCAACTTGTCAATCAAATGTCATTACTGTAACGGTGGCAAAAATACTGATTTTGGAAAATCTAGCCATAAATGTTGCTTAAAAACAGCTATGAAATGGAAAGCCTTAGGCGTCACATATGTAGCTGTTTATAAGTATATATGTGCATGTATACATACATAATTTGATCTAGAGCATAATATATATACATAATCCGACCTTGAGCATAGTACACATACATAATTTGATCTTGAGCATAGTACGCATACATAATCTGACCTTGAGCAAAGTACACATACATAATCTGATCTTGAGCATAGTACACATACATAATCTGATCTTGAGCAAAGTACACATACATAATCTGATCTTGAGCATAGTACACATACATAATCTGATCTTGAGCACAGTATACATACATAATCTGATCTTGAGCATAGTACACATACATACATAGTACACATACATAATCTGATCTTGAGCATATTCTGTTCTTGAGCATAGTACACAGTACATACATATCTTGAGCAAAGTACACTGGAATGCGTTCAGGATCCATACATAATCTGATCTTATGCCTTGTACATACATAATCCGCTGTCTCACTGGAACTGCACCTTCTTATCTATCATACATCTGGAATCTAACCTTAAACATGCGCCTTCCCGATCTCTCTGCTCACAGGAAAAGAACTTGCTTGTTGTTCACAGGAAAAGAACTTGCTTGTTGTTCCCAAAGTAAAGACAGTGATGTATGGAAAGAGGTCCTTTGTCCATGCAGGATCTATAGCCTGGAACAGTCTCCCGCAGAGCCTCAGAGACTGTTGTGACTTTAATTCTTTTAGATCCAATCTAAAAGCACACATGTTCAAGAGAGCCTTTGAACTGTAGCTCTTTACCATTAATCTCATCTTTATCTTGTGTGCTTTGAGCATGCTTTAGCATGGATATATGCGCGTAACAAATATGTGGCATTCTCAGTGTTAGAGATGAAACTAACCTCAAGCTCTCTAATTAGCGGGCTAGTCCATTTTGCGCAAAGGGTATATGCCTGTTGTTGTTATAATTAATCCCTCATTTGCTGTATGACTAGTGGGAGAAGGACTAATGGGCGTATGACTAATGGCACATGACCATGGCCACAGAAACCCCGTTAATCAGAAATAACGTTAATCCGGGGAGCGCTGACGGAATTACATTATTGACTTACCATAGGGGATCATTCCATGTATCCGTGATCATAAACCGAATACATATATAATACAATATGTTGGACGTATAGTTGAAGCTGCAAAGTTTACAAACAATAGTACTGATACTCATTCTAACATATTGGCAGTAGCTCACCAAGACAATCACCCGGGAATACTGAAAACGTCACCAGTTTAGGGAAGGACAACAGCATTGGCGCAAGCAAAGAACGCCGCGTTTTTGACAGAAAGGATGGCGTAAATTTGGGGAAGCAGCATCACCCAACAGGGATGTTCGCTATCCCGACGGTTGATATCAACCTGGCAGACTACTTCTGAGGGAGTTCCAGGTCAAATGATCGAATGAGATGAGGTAAGGCAACGCGCCAATGACTGCGCCAATGGTGAAGACGTTCCATTCCACGATTGTAAACACCGAAGGTCAGCCAACCAACCAACCAACCAACTGACCGACCGACCGACCGACCATCCAATCAATCAATCAATCAACCAATCAATCAATCAATCAATCAATCAAACAATCAATCAATCAATCTGTTGTTTCTTACCACGTTACGTATTGTCGCTCGTCATATCGAAGGCCCGAATTCGATTACCCACACGGACACATGGCTACAGTCTGTGAGGCCCATTTCGGGTTTCCCAGTCCGCAGCATTGCTAGAATATTGCTAAAGGCGGCGTAAGACTTTACTCATTCACACCACCTGTGTAAATCCGACCAAATACAAGCACACATTTGTATACAGTGGTCCCGTGATCAGTAAAGATACAATAGTAACTTCATTTGCGTTACAAGCAGTACATAATTACATCATCGCACACAGTGGTCTCCAGGATGCGTGATTGCCCATTTACAATAACATTGCTTCAAAGCTCGTCGATTGACGATCGAGGTCACTTTTAATTATCTAATCAATACAGAAGCCCAGGCAGAAATCCATAGCAGGAGACAGATTGTCTGGTGCGTTAGTCAACACTCCTGACAGACTGGCCCTTGACTAATGGCCGCAGGGTTAAAGAGATACCCTCAGTCATATAGTGAGTGAGTGAGTGGGTGAGTTGGGTTTTACGCCGCTTTTAACAATATTCCAGCAATATCACGGCGGGGGACACCAGAAATGGGCTTCACACATTGTACCCATGTGGGGAATCGAACCCGGGCCTTCGGCGTGAAGATCGACCGCTTTAACCATTAGGATACCCCACCAGCCCCTCAGTCATATATACAGGACACCACGTTCATTTACAGCTCTTGCTGCATGATCTTGTCTTCACCGGGATGGTTTTACTGACATTTTTATGCTTTTTGTGCGTTTTATTTCCTAAATCCTTTTGCCTATTCTGCAAACATATACAGATAAAGGTAGACGTAGCAATATTTAATAACAAGCCGTTTCGATACATGCCAGCCTTTCCACAGACTCCCAAAAGATGATGCCACGGAGATGAATAAAATATGTCTCATTAAGCTGGAGTCATCTGTTACCCGTGAAGGTCCGGGTTAGAATATTGATCTTCAGTTACCCATGCTTGTCGGAAGAGGCGACTAACGGGATCGGGGGATCAGGCACGCTGACTTGGCTGACACATGTCATCATATCCCAATTGCGTAGAGCGATGCCCATGCTGTAGATCACTGGATTGTCTGGCCTAGACTCGATTATTTACAGAAAGAAACCATATAGCTGGAATATTGCTGAGTGCGGCTTAAAACTAAACTCACTCACTCACTGAAGTCATCTGTCAACCATAATATTATGATATCATATGTTTTACTTGGTCGTTCCTGAATGATGCATTTCCCGTCGTCCAAAAAGACTGTTACCATTTACAACCCTCCTGTGATAGTAATCATTCATTACTTCAGTCGATGCCAACCATTTAGACCATATCGGTTTCTGTGGCAATATTGATTATAACTGTTCGTCCCAAATGGAACGGAGGCAAATAACCATAAACTATGTGTGGCGTTACACGCAACAGTGACATTTTTAGTTACAACCAATTATGATGTTTCTTGGAATCAGCGCTTCTCTGGAAAACCTGTTTACCAATATGAGACAAAATCGATATTGCCTTAGAGACAATATCAACATAAACAAGTTACGTAACGAGGCTAACGATCCACTTCTAAACGATCGTCACGATCGGCTCAGACTGTTCGCTCGCTCGGACGTATCCAAGAAAGGTATGCATTTTATCTTACGACATTTAGCTTGGGTTCTTACATATAAATCTGGCGTTGTATTAGATCTAGAAAACTGCTATAACCTGATGTTTCTACGTGTTAAACAAGATAGTAGGTAGCTAACCTCTACCTTCATCAACAGTCCATGGCTGTCACTTGTCACGTAATGCTGATGGAAATTTGATAAATGTCTTTTTCTTGCCATTCGTAACAATATTGACTCGGAAATATGCTACAGTGCATACGAAAACATAAAGACATTGGTCTTTTCATCCTGAATATTTTTTTATTCAGTAAATGTTGTTTGCATAACGAAACGTTGTAACTTTATCCGTTTTATTGGAGTATATCACTGGATAGTTTATAAGCTCCATCATGCCCTGTCCGCTTGCCCATTGTTTTGGTAGTATGCAAATGTACATGGTGTCTTAACTACGAGACCCGTGAAGATCCGGGGTAGAACAGGTCTTCAGCAACCCATGCTTACCACAAAAGGCGACTATGCTTGTCGTAAGAGGCGACTAACGGGATCGGGTGGTCAGGCTCGCTGACTTGGTTGACATATGTCATCGGTTCTCAATTGCGCAGATCGATGCTCATGCTGTTGATCACTAGATTGTCTGGTCCAGACTCGATTATTTACAGACCGCCGCCCCTAGCTGGAATATTGCTGAATGCGGCGTAAAACTAAACTCACTCACTTAACTACGAAACATGAGTTGAAGGGGACCCCTGCCAAGGTGATCAGGTTCCCAGCAGTTGCGATATTCCATGTCCTTATTGTCTCGATGACATGCATGTAAATGTGGAGATCCGGTTAGAATTCGCCTTGCGTAACCCACGCTTGTCGTAAGCGTAAATGAGTGAGTTTTCAGCAATATTCCAGCAATATCACGGCGGTGGGCAACAGAAATGGGCTTCACCCATTGTATCCATTTGGGTAATCGAACCCGGGTGTTCGGCGTGACGAGCGAACTCTTTAACCACTAGACTACCCCACCGCCCGTATATAATGGGGGAAAGGAGCAAGAAGATTTCAGATGAAAATATATACGAGATATGAAATGACATAATAAAGAAAAAGGACAAATCAAAAAGTAGGTGTGCGCCAAGGTCATTTGTGCTGAGTTCTGGACAACCCTTTAAGTTCATTTCAATACTTTCCTCTGCTAAGCATAGTTCAGTTTGTTGGAAAGTTCATTCTAAAGAACAGCATTTTGGTAAATGTGGTCAAGGAATATGAATTGAAACAACGCTTACAGTGAGGTACATGTTATTAATTCAGTTCTAAGGACATCACTCTTTCAGGAACCAATGCCTTTAGTTTCCCCCCATCAGTAATTACCATACAGGTATGAGTTTTAGGAATTTTCATGTTTTTCTGAAACTCAGTTTCATGTTATTCAGATCTGTAAAAACTCAAATAAAAGAAAACCCTACAGAATGACCGTTCACCACCTGTGTCAAGACCTGGGTCCCTATTCACAAAGCGTTCGTAACGTTACGACCTGTCGTAACTATGTAGAATTACGAATGTTTAAGCGCTACAAACGCTTTGGTGGACCCAGACGCTGATTCACATGCCCGTGCAATGCCTCGCTGATCTTATTCAATTTTTAACATGCTCTTATATACTAGGCGTCATTAGTAAAGGGTAAAATTATATATATCACATGTAAAGAAGAAAGTCTCAGAAATAATAGAACTAAGAGTGTCATCATAATGTATAATATGTTGACACATCGTGTCATACAGACAAAAAGTTCAAACAGCACTAGCAAACATCAGTTGCTGGGACATCCACTGGTGCTGGGTGACGTGTATACACACCTGAACCAAGTTCATCCCAGGCATGGCCTAGCCTTGCAGCAAAGAGGGTCGACCATAAAATCCATGCATGATGAAGGCAGGCCAGTTGGATAGAATGACCTTTGATCTGTGGTGATCTTGACATCTGTGTGACCTACTTTGCCAGGGTGGGTTTTGATTAATTTCAGGTGATCAGGTACATGGGTGTCCGACGTTGCTCTTGGGACAATGACCTGAACTGTGTGACCGTGGGGAAAATAATGTTATGAATGTTGATGGATCTTTCTCAGGGGTATTTGTTCTAAATCAGGTGCATAGCAACAGGAATAGGATGACATCATGGAATATTGATAGATCAACTTGTTTAATCTGGTTTTGATTTTAACGATAAAACCTGAGGAATTCGCCTCTGACTCTCGCAGTTCGCCAGTCGTATGTTCTTGACTTTGATGGGATTGTGAAACAAGCTAACGTTGTCGGTGCTTGAGGGTAAATAAAAAGAATTGGGAGTGAGTTCAATCTCATTTCGAAATTGTTTTATGATTCAAATTCATTATATCATTTACATATTTATGGGTTTACTATGAGTTATTTGACCCGTTCAGTGTATACCTTTTAACTATAATGTATTTTAACATTCACAAAATGAAACATTTCAACTTAACATAAAAAATGCATATATTAAAGGGTATAATTGTCTTTTACTGAATACATGTAACACTATTGGATATCAAGTGGGTCAATATCAAGGTAGGTATACATTAACATGAACCTAAGAGTCAATAAAGTTTTCCCTTATTGTCAGTCATTATGTATGAGCTTTAACAGAATTACAAACACATAAACCGGACAATGCCACGTGAAAACAACTCATTCACATTAAATCTTAATGTACAAATAAGGCACAACAACACAAATCTGTAGACATTCTGCAAAATAATAAACAAGGAAGATGTACTGATTTAATGTAATATTTATTTATCAGCTCCATTTCAGTCAGTTGACATTAGGATAGGAGCACTCCCAAAGTGTACTTCTTTTGTGATTGTCTTATTATCCCTCTTCCCCCTCCTGTCCAGATACTTCACTCTCTGTAACAGATATCATGCCTTCCTCATCATCTTCAATCAAGTCTTCGCACCCTAGTACAGTTCTAAAATCATTCGTGTCTTGTACATGCTTCAGTATTTCTTTGGACCCCACTGCAAAAGATACAGATAAGCAATAAATTGTGCATACGTCTCTTTAAAAGTGCTCCATGTCAATTTCTTCAGTTTGTCTTCTGTCACTTCCTTGGTTAGACCTCTTTTCTTGTCAGAGGTCTGCTAACACCGAAACTCAAACTGGGACTGAATTGTCTTGGTTTGGAGGTCTGGTGGTGGTGGTGGTGCTCGTCTGTGTTAATTCCTCAGATGTCTGAGCACGGCATCCCTTCTCAAAAGGTCCGATTGCACATGGGACACGTTGTTGTTGACTGCGTGGCGGTGTGAGTCAAATGATGGCGAACCTGTCTTCTAGCTGCTTTTATCTTCCATTTCTCAAGGTTTAGATGCCTCTTTTATTGTCTTCTGCACCTGTTCAGAGGGTGATATTATGACAATTTTGGGTTGCTCACATGAAAGTTCTTTTTGGTTTTGAATCCCTTGACCATGATCGTATGCAGCCAATATAGCATCAATGGATATATACTTTCTATTCAGATGAATGTAAGGCGCCAGCAATCCTTGAGATTTCAAGTAGCATCCTACTTGTTATGACTGGTTTCCACTGGGGGGTATTCATGATGAAAACCAAAACGCGAGCAGGTTGAGGTGAAGTGTTACAGTCATTGGTCCACAGACAAATTCCCTCGTAGCCACCATCCCATCTGGTTTGCCCTCGTGGCCCTTTATGTAGTTATCCACAGACTTAATTGAGTGTCTGCTTTCACTGCTTCAATTTAACAGGACTGGCATCATTCCTAGGATGTTTGGGGTCATAATAATACGCTGGAGATACTCTTCCCACGGTAATGACTAACTACACCTGGGTTGTCAAGGCGGGTCTATTTATACAAAAACTACTAAGCCCATGCTTTATCTAATAACAATTGATTGAATAGCCTCATCTCTTAGCGCATTGACAAACTGTGGTTTCAAAACGAATGCAACAGGCAAAAAGACTCTTACAAATACCATCTGTAGTCCATAGGGGGTGAACTAATCTTCGTAACATCTATTTATAATACCATCGACGGCAAGAATCTGTTCTCTGTTCATTTCTAAAACTTTTGTTGAATCTTCTCAACGTCTTCAAACATTAACATGAACCTTAAAACCTTAAAGTTTCAAGCCATTTGCAATAATTCTAGAAAACAAGCTCTTACTCCTATCGTGGTTAGGATCTCAATGAGATTAGCATTTGAGCAAACCTGTATTTATACAGATTTATTACCAATAACAGATAGAGAATATACGGTATTTTACAATGAACAATACACTCTTAGTTATATGTAAATCCACATGACTCCCCCGGCGGGGCACCTCTTTCTGATGTATTCCCAACGAGTGTCAAATTCGGATCACTTTTCATGTTCGACCCAGAGATCATCATCTACTTCCTAGTTCTTTAGAACGAGACCACACTGGAAACACTTGCAAGCGTCCCCCTCTGATTAAGTACACAAATCCTGCCTGGGCCAATAGACTAGGACTCTGTTTCATCTGCACAGACCAAGACTGAAAGGAATTCAACCATTGTTGGAACCTTGTATGAGGTTTACTCAGAGGAAGGCTACTGTCCACTACTGATCCTATAACTCTGTCAGTGACTTGTCAGTAGAGTCAGGTGTCTCAAGACCTAATAATTTCATGGTGTCTGTCTCTCCACATTCCTCAAAATCTTTGCATATTATGACGTAAGCTTCTGGTCCCCGTCAAGGTAAGACAGACAGGAGTTCTCTGCCGCAGTCAAAGGAGGTTTGAGGTTTTTCGATAATTTCAGCTTTCATAAAGATAGAATGGACTCCAACCAACTGCACCAGCTTGTCGACCACATCTTCTAAATGTTGCATAGCTAACACTAGCCTTTCTTCCTCAGAATATCACAGTGAACTGCTTCCCTTTTCTATCTTCAAGATAAACAACCAACAGTGAGAGACGAGAGATTAAAGCTTGATGCCGTCTGTGAAATCAGAAATGAATTGATGGACAATCAAGGGCTTAGATTTAAAATCTAAAACCGGATTAAACCAGCTGATCTATCAATATTCCATGATCATTTTCTTCCCCTGGGAAAGTTGTGAACTATTGCATCCAAATCGTCAGTACTGATCCATCTTTTATAGCATAAGCAGTTCTGTGTTTTGGTTGATCATAATCTTGGTCATCCAGCCCACGTATATATGCATATTTGCCTTCATTCTGTCCATCTTCAGTGCTAAAACAACGTTCACTCGACCATTGGCACGGACTTCTTCACCCCATGTTTCTGGGCAATATCGATTGTTCCACAGCAAATCCTGAAAACTCTGAAAACAAATAAAACCATGTGTTACATAAATATGCCATTCATTAACAAAACACTGTTTGTATGCCTATTTCAATTTGCAGATATCTCTATTCTGAAAAGAAAAGAAAACATACAAACGAAAAGACAAAATAAGACCTGTTTTTTGGAACCACTGATTTCTTAAAATGTCAGGTGTAATGTAAAGGTCTTCTACATTCGAAATAGCGTAGGCGTCACCCCGGACGTGGACAGTCAACATAATACGTGAGGCAGGGTCGGAGAATAACCCATACTTTGGGGGTTTTCTCGGAGATTTCGATTAAATACTTTCTTTTTTGTCTTTTACCCTAGTCATGTCAGTTAGTACAATCACACAGTTCTAGGGGTCTCAACCTACCAGTTCAATCGATATAAATCTGTCAGCTGAAACTGATTTAAAAAATCGAACGTATTTATACTACCCATGTAGTTGATGACCTTAAATTACATCAAACCCACCCAGACAAATTAAAGTAGGTCACACAGTAGTTGTTAAGGTCAAGAAGGTCATTTTACCAAAGAGAAGCCCACAGCTGTCATGTTACCAAAGAGAAGCCCACAGCTGGCATGTTACCAAAGAGAAGCCCACAGCTGGCATGTTACCAAAGGGCAAAGGTCACAACTGTCATGTTACCAAAGAGAAGCCCACAGCTGTCATGTTACCAAAGGGCAAAGGTCATTCTACCCAACCGGCTTGCCTTCATCACATGCATAGCTTGCAGGAATGGTACTGCTATAGGAGACAAAATCTCGTCCCGATAATGCTGTCCGGTACCGTCGACCATGTGTGCTATGGACTACGTCCAGTAGAAATTGTCAGTGTCCAAACCATGGCTCACACTCTCTCACACACACACTCTCTCTCTCTCTCTCTCTCACACACACACACACACACACACACACACACACACACACACACACACACACACACACACACACACCTCTGATTGGTCTGCGATCCACCTGGGACAGAAATACCCTTTCTTTCTTTCTGAAACCTCACCTGGCGGCAATGTATACAAGTTTAATTTTACTTGATGTATTTTGTTTATTATCTTGTTTACAGATTGTTTAAATGTTTGCTTATTGTTTAACGGCGCACTCAGCAATATGGTTTTAAGCTCTTAATGCTTTTGTCTGGACAATATCATAAGCATCGATCGGTTGGGATCCATTGACACGCGATCACGTTAGTCGTCTCTTACGACGAGCATGGGTTGCTGAAGACCAATTCTGACGTGGATCCTCACGTTACAGATTGTTTAAAACAGGTGTAACAATAATGCATTCGTTATACGATTTATTTTGTCTCTATGATTTATTTTCAGTGTTAAAACGAGAAAGATGTCACGAAAGAGCAGAGATTTCATGTTGAACTTCGTATCAGATTTAATGAACCCGACTGTGGAGGAAGATACTTTGATTCGATCTTTAAGGCAGAACTTTGGGGAGAATAAAGAAAAGCCTAAGAACAAAGACAATCTAACCAGCTATAGATTTAATGATGTGGAGAAGAACAAGCATGATAAACGAATAGGTTCAGATTCCGGAGAGTCTGTGCTTCATATTGCCGTCAGCCGTCAGAGGAATAAAGTTGCCAAGAAAATATTTGAATGTGAACCAAGTTTAATCAACTGTGATAGAAAGGATGAGGACTATCGTGGACAGACGCCTTTCCACATTGCCATAGCCATGGCCAATCCTAAGACGGGTGCTGGGCAAGATCTGGTGGAAGCCATGACTAAAACACTCAAAGATAATTATATGCTCAAAGAGGCGATGGAATGTAGAGTTTCCGGAAAGAAATTCAGAGGTACTGTTATGTTAGGAGGGACACCTTTGTCCATTGCTGCTTTGGATAATAATGAAAATATTGTTGACCTTTTTCTTGAAAATGGCGCTGATCTAAAGGACTCGGACAGTTTTGGGAATACAGTTTTTCACTCGATGGTCCTATACGCATCTTTCTACCCAGAGAAGGAGCAAGATATTCTGAGGATGTTTGAAAAGTTGGCAAATCACAAGCAATCGAAGTGCAGAGAAAATGTCCAACGAGAAAATGCTCGAAAGATATCAGCACTCCATCTTGCTGCTGAGCTGGGTCTGGACAACGTGTTTAGTCACATCCTTGAACTGAAGGATGCATATAAGTTCTTCTCTAATCATGACGGCGTTTTTGATATCTACAAATGTGATATAACAGAGCTTGATAAGGCAACCTGGGATAGAGCCGTTCTACAGAAGTCACCTGACTACAGGAACACAGAACACAGAGCTGAGGGATTGCCTAAAGGCAGGCAGGACTGTTGGATAGTAAGCTATTGGAAGAATCGGAGACAAAATACCAACCAGAGTATTTTGGAAAACATTTGCAGTTTGGAGTCAACCACGGCATATGCGTTTCTGAACAACTACACAGTCCGAGAAGTTTTGTTCCTGAAGTGGAAGCAGTACTCGCTCGTCTACTACCTTTTCCTCGTTCTTCATCTGGCACTAATGAGCATCCTAACCTGGCATTTGGATCTCAAAGTTGACGCCATCATGTATCCAGACAAGGCACAGAAGCAAACCTTGGTGGGTTTTAGTATCTTCTCAATCGTCATAAGTCTCCTCTATATCATTTTTGAGTTACACAGGATGTTCATTTCTTGGCAACCCTTCCATCTAACAAAACTGCATCACAATGGAGTGTACCGATGCATTTTTGTGCTATTTGGTTTTGCATTACTGATAGACGCGTCGTGGAATGTTGGAACTGCTAAAAACAATTATTGTCTGGTAATAGCATTGATCCTTGGTTGGTGGTCAACAACCTTCTTCCTGCGTGGAATCAAGCCTTTGAGCTACATAACACTGATGTTACAAAAGGTCCTCTTTGGAGATATGGTGAAGTTTATACCAATCATTTGCATAATGATGATAGCATTCACAAGTGCAATGCGCAGTTCCATGGCCATGACTGCACCTGACTCATTCGGAAATTTCGCTATCAGTCTGATTACCATGTTTAAGCTAATGACTGGCCAGGCCGAGATAGAGGGACTTGAGGGAGCAGCAATACATGGATCTGTCCCCATATTTGTCTTGTCGGTGATAGTCATCCAGATATTCCTCCTCAACATCCTCATCGCAATTATGTCCACCACGTGTGAAAGCGTCGAGAATTCAAACAAGCTCTTGTGGCTTCAGAGATTGTCCATTGTCATATTCATAGAAGGGATACTACCAAAAAGGCTGAAGTCACCCATGGGGAAGGAGGATAAGACAGATTCTAGCAGTACCAGATATCTTCTCGAAATTGACCGCTTGAGAGACGGAGAATCCAATTACAACAAGACCTTTGAGCAGAATGGCAATGCAAATCTTACAGCAACACTGCGCAACCTCCTGAACCAATCCAAAGTAGGGGAGACAATAGCACGCTCCGACAACGGAGCGCCCCCTGTCCAGTATCTGGTCATTGATAACTATGGAAAGAGCAAATAAACAAATACATAAGAGGGGACAGTATTGTAAACATCGTTCCGAAAAGTCACTAGCAAAGTCAAAATCCGTATCTGTGGGGAAAACCTTGATATGGCTGAACACATGCTCTGTCGGATCGTCGTCAAAGTAGAAGTTCCCCCAGCGGTCGCGTACAATTATTTGACACTTGCACATTCCAAGTTGTGAGGGCGTTTGTAACAATTTGATTGATTCCGAATGTGGCGTTAATGTACATGGTTCTAGAAAACCATCTTTAAGAAATTAGAATCTCATTTTGCAAATTATTTGGGAAAACGCCATGATACATATGTTGTACTTTAGTATATCTTACTGCACTAGGTTAGTAACGATTCTTATTTAAATTACGTCTTATAGTGGTTTTCTTTAACTTAAAGTTGGAACCGAAAATTACCAATGTTTGTATATTTTTGAATGCCAGATATTAGGATTACAAACCATTACGTCATCAGTGTTAAATAATGTAGTTGTAAATAAAGTGTTTTTGTAATACTTTAGGTTTTATAACTACGTACTTCTGCAATGGGAAGAAGTGAGTTATGACAATTATCACAATTATTCCCTCCGCCGGAAGCAACAACAACAACAAAGAGGAGGTAACTCCCGAGCGAAAATACACAGCCTAAGTTCAAGGTATGAGAAAAACCACACCCAGCGCTTTAAATTTTGTGACCCATACAAACCAAAAGATAACTAATGTGACATGATTAACAAAACCAAATCCTCATAACGTTATCAATGAAGTGATTTCTAATGGTAGTTTGTGCCATGTAAAACAACTAGAAATATATTCTTATCATTATAAGGGGGTTGGGTGATTTCAAGAAACAGAAATATATCGTTATCACCAGAATATTTGTAATAGTAGTGTGTGTCGTGTAAACAAACAGAAATATATCGTTATCACCAGAATATTTGTAATAGTAGTGTGTGTCGTGTAAACAAACAGAAATATATCGTTATCACCAGAATATTTGTAATAGTAGTGTGTGTCGTGTAAACAAACAGAAATATATCATTATCACCAGAATATTTGTAATAGTAGTGTGTGTCGTGTAAACAAACAGAAATATATCGTTATCACCAGAATATTTGTAATAGTAGTGTGTGTCGTGTAAACAAACAGAAATATATCGTTATCACCAGAATATTTGTAATAGTAGTGTGTGTCGTGTAAACAAACAGAAATATATCGTTATCACCAGAATATTTTGTTATAGTAGTTTGTGGCATGTAAGCAAACATGAATGTATCCTTGTTACTGGGGGGATTCTAATAGTAGTTGGTGTCATGTAAAACATGTAGAAATATATCCTTGTTAATGGATTGATTTCTAAAAGTAGCTTGTGTCATGTACAATAACTAGAAATATATCCTTGTTAATGAATTGCTTTCTAAAAGTAGCTTGTGTCATGTACAATAACTAGAAATATATCCTTGTTAATGGATTGATTTCTAAAGTAGCTTGTGTCATGTACAATAACTAGAAATATATCCTTGTTAATGGATTGATTTCTAAAAGTAGCTTGTATCATGTACAATAACTAGAAATATATCCTTGTTAATGGATGATTTCTAAAAGTAGCTTGTGTCATGTACAATAACTAGAAATATATCCTTGTTAATGGATGATTTCTAAAAGTAGCTTGTGTCATGTACAATAACTAGATATATATCCTTGTTAATGGGTTCAATTTTAAAAGTAGCTTGTGTCATGAACAATAACTAGATATATGGATTGATCCTTGTTAATAGGTTAATTGATTGATTTCTAAAAGTAGCTTGTGTCATGTACAATAACTAGATATATATCCCATGTTAATGGGATTGATTTCTAAAAGTAGCTTGTGTCATGTACAATAACTAGAAATATATCCTTGTTAATGGATTGATTTCTAAAAGTAGCTTGTGTCATGTACAATAACTAGAAATATATCCTTGTTAATGGATTGATTTCTAAAAGTAGCTTGTGTCATGTACAATAACTAGAAATATATCCTTGTTAATGGATTGATTTCTAAAGTAGCTTGTGTCATGTACAATAACTAGAAATATATCCTTGTTAATGGATTGATTTCTAAAGTAGCTTGTGTCATGTACAATAACTAGTAATATATCCTTGTTAATGGGTTCAATTCTAAAAGTAGCTTGTGTCATGTACAATAACTAGATATATATCCTTGTTAATGGGTTCAATTCTAAAAGTAGCTTGTGTCCTGTACAATAACTAGAAATATATCCTTGTTAATTGATTAATTTCTAACAGTAGCCTGTGTCATGTACAATAACAAGAAATATATCCTTGTTAATGGATTGATTTCTAAAAGTAGGTTGTGTCATGTACAATAACTAGATATATATCCTTGTTAATGGGTTCAATTCTAAAAGTAGCTTGTGTCCTGTACAATAACTAGAAATATATCCTTGTTAATTGATTAATTTCTAACAGTAGCCTGTGTCATGTACAATAACAAGAAATATATCCTTGTTAATGGATTGATTTCTAAAAGTAGGTTGTGTCATGTACAATAACTAGAAATATATCCTTGTTAATTGATTAATTTCTAACAGTAGTCTGTGTCATGTACAATAACTAGAAATATATCCTTGTTAATGGATTGATTTCTAAAAGTAGCTTGTGTCATGTACAATAACTAGATACTAGTATATATCTTTATCATTGGTGTGATTCCTAATAATATTTGGTGTCACATGAAACATCTACAGTTATATCCTCATCACTGGAGTAATTTCTAATAGTAATAGGTATTTTATATAACTCTAGAAGTATACCCTCATCACTGAAGTGATTTCTATCAGTAATTGGTATCATGTAAACAACTAGAAATACATCTTTATGATAGTAGTTGGTGCCATATAACACATGCAGAAATATAACTCTTACAAAAAGAGGAACAAATATGATGTAAAGGTATCAAATAACACAACTTGGTTAAATCAACTAAATGAAATTTTTTAATCATGTTGGCACAATTTTACATCCCGTTTTTCACTTCTAACCTATTTGTTGAACTTAACTCATGATTAAAGCTTGGAATCTAGAAAATTACATTTTGGGGGGTTTTGCAGCCATTTTGGATTTAGCCTCGCTCTGAGTTTAAGCTTCCAAACCGACATGGCCATCATACACTTGTGATATGTGGTAACCATAACAACTTCAAAAACACAACTTTAAGTGTTTGGTCCCTCTGAATGGTACCGAATTGCCTGTCTCCTCGCCTTATTGGTGTCAACAGTGGTGTCATGTAAGCAACTAGAAATATATTCTTATGATCAGAGTGATTTCTAATAGTAGTTAGTGTCTTATGAAAACATGTAGAAATATACTTTTTCATTTGAGTGATTTTTAATAGTATTTCATATCATGTAAACTATCTGACCAGAGCAGTTGCTGCACAACCGCAATGCTACCAGCTGTTTGAGAAATGTGGAGTGCAAGTTGCCACTGGCCTTTTTGTTGTTGCTTATTTCTTAAGATTGCCTCATTAACTTTGCATACTCATTGGCTTTGCGTACTCATAACCTTTGCATGCTGTTGTGCTTGTGATGTCTTAGAAATAAATAATAGTCTCGTCATGTATTTGTCGTGAAATGTTGACGTTGTGATCGTAAAAATGTAGACTTTGTATTCAGCAATTTGCACCACGTGTAATGATATACGGTTCCAAATTTAGTATTATAAAGTTACTAGCTTTCCTGTAAGTACTCCTGTTATAAAACAATATTAGAAGGGGAAACATATGCATTACACCTTATAAATAGAAAGGATCTTGCCCGAATTATTGAAAGTGTCGTTGTTTCTCACACAGCTCATGGAAGAGGAATGAATGTCCCTTTCTGCTTGTTTGACCTTTTTGTGGGTCTATCCAAACCACGAAATTTTTGCCAGTTAATATCTTCACAACAAGATATTGAAAGTTGAACAATGTGTTATCTACCAATTTCAGCCGCACATCTACAGAAGCAGTTGCACACATGACCGGAAGTGTCGTTTCATTGAGTGTTATGGGTCATAGGGCCAGACACAATGAACAATAAGGAGAGTTCTATGGATATACACCTTCTTTAATATGATATGAGCGACGTTTCGGTGTAGCTACTAACACCGTTATCAAGCAAATGATGTACAATACTAGATGCAAGGTATATTTAAAGTTGAACAGTAAGGATTGATGTTTACACAATTAATGAGGTAGATGTACAAGGTGGTGGATGTTTACACAAGAGGCCAATAGTTACACAAACATAGTAAGCTATGGGGGATTAAGGGAGGAAGCCAGTGATATGACAGACAGGAGAATAATAGGATTAAGATTGCTTGGTGATGAGTTGGTTGTAGGCAGTGGGGATGTAATATCCTTGGTCTCTGTTCATGGTCGGTTGGAGTCTCTTGATGTGAATGGCTTCTAGCAGCTTTCTGATCTTGTAGTGGGTGTGATTGCTGGTGAGTACATTGATGCTGTTCCATAGGATGTTGTGGTCTGGGTGAGCTTGGGTGTGGTCAGAGATGGCGGATTTAGAGTCTTTCTTCTTCACAGAGGCTTGATGTTCTTTGATTCTTACAGGAAGGGGTCTTGAGGTTTCGCCGATGTACGAGTCTCCACAGTCACACTTTATGTGGTAAACTGTGCCTGAGGGGTCTTCTTTAGATGTGGGGGTTGGTCCAACCACCAGATCAGCCGACTCTTAAAACACCAAGTCAACATTGAGGTTGTGTTCCAGAGAGGTACTACTATACAGAACCTCCTAAAAGCCAATGGCAGACCAACCCCCACATCTAAAGAAGACCCCTCAGGCACAGTTTACCATCTTTCAATGAAAGAGTTTGATAAGGTAGATAGACATTGTCTATGGTTTAAACTGTTAAAACTTGGAATCAAAGGGAAATTCCTTTATGCTGTTTAATCTATGTACAATGACTCTAACGCTCGTGTACGTATAAACAACTGTTTCACTGATTTATTTAATTAAATTCCGGAGTTAGGCAGGGTTGTCTAATGTCACCGACTTTGTTTTCTATTTACATTAATTACCTAGCAGAAGAAATCAACGCTCTCAACTGTGGTGTAAACATTGACGGAGTTATGTTGAGTACACTACTGTACGCTGATGATATTGCTTTGATAGCAGGAGACGAGTTGTCCCTACAGCGGATGTTAGATTGCGTTGATAATTGGTGTAAACGTTGGCGTTTAACTATTCCTAAGAAGAAAACTAATGTCGTTCATTACCGACCCTGTTGTTTCAATAGATCACAAGTTGTATTCAAAATTGGCTATGTCACTATTGACTATACCAATGCATATAAATATCTGGGCGTTTGGTTGCAGGAAAACATTGATATGAACTTTACAGCTAAAGAAATCGCTAAATCTGCTAGTCGAGCACTTGGTGTTATCATGTGTAAATTCAGATTTTGTGGTGGTTTGGCTTATAATATCTTTAATACTTTATACAATAACCTTTTCCTGCCGATCTTATCCTATGGGTCAGCTATATGGGGCACAAAACAATTCAATTGTATAAATGCAGTACAAAACAAGGCCTGTAGATTCTTCCTGGGCGTTGGCAGTAAGACTCCAAATCTAGCGGTCCGGGAGAGATAGGTTGGACAACTCCATTTTCTAAACAAAAAATTTAAATTGTGCAGTTCTGGAGTAAGCTGTGTTCTACTGAGCAGTCGAGAATACCTAGTGCTGTATGCAGATGGTCCATACTTTTCCAAAATCCTGGAATAAAATTGTTGTAAATATTCTTAACAAATTGGATCTCCCCGTGGTTGACCTATATAATATGTCTAAAATGGACTTTTATTACGCCTCAGTGTGGATACGATCATTAGATTGTCAGGGCTGGAATAAAGAACTTTGGAACGACCGAGGGAAACCTAACGGGAATAAACTCCGTACTTACAGAAAGTTCAAAGATCACATATCCCCCAAGGGGGTACAAATACATAAATCACTAACTGGCATCGTTATGAATGAAACCCCGTCATTAAAACTACTCATTTCGACCTTTAATTGACTTAAATCGACCTTTTTGACAACAGTGCACAATTCTTATCCGCGAACGAAATTTCAACCAATCAGAGCGGCGCGTCTCTGTGACATCATATGAGGAAGAGCTTTGAGGGCCGATGCAGAATTCATCTACATTTTAGGGGGTAAATTATCTTGTTTATAGGCTTGTATAAACCTGAAATCGTGACAAGTGTTGTGGAAAATGAAAGCTATATGTTCTCACAATCTACTGTCATTTAATTTTGTCTCCTGCTTTGCCTAGTTTCCGAGTTACAACTTGTTTTCATAGACGATTCTGTCAAAATCGCTTGGTGTCGTTAGGCCCTATTTGTATAATGACTGATCTAAATTGATCCCATTTCTGTGTTTTTTTACCACGATATTTATTCATGTCATGTAAAAATCTGTTTGTATTCTCAAAACAGTGTCGGCCCATAAGTTTTCACATGTAATACATGACAGCAATTAATACTCCCTTGTTGTAACCCGTGTTAGGCGGTATAAACCTACACATATTATTTGTCATCATTCACTTGATGGTCAGTTAATGAATTTATAACAGGTATAATTAGTGGGAACACACTTAGATTACCCGACAAATGTTCCCATTTGGCATTTCTTGTGTCTGGAGTAAATATTCAACATTATAAACATCGATCAAAGGATTAACCGATAACACGCTGATTGATGAATTACTTTTATCTTACACAGCGGAATTGTCAAAAGGTAGTGTTTATGTATGTAGATTTACTAATCTATACTGAATACACTCTGTCGTGTCGGTGTCTGCGTAAAACAACGTCCTTCTTTCAAAGGATTAACCAGCAATACATGGATTGATTGCCCATTATTGGCAAACTAAATTACTGTTTTCTAAGAAAGGCGGACATTATGCAATTAGTTGCCAGGTGTGCTATCTTGGGTGACCAATAAGACTATACACCAATACCTGAAAAGATTTATAACTTTTTCGTATATTAAACTGTTAAAAGACACATCATTTGGAACAGTTTTGTGGATATTGATGGATACATTCCTAGAACAAGGTAAAGGTCTGATATTGTTCCTATAACTTTAATCTGTTTTAATTTTAATATTTGCATTTTGTTTTTATTCATTTGTCGTAGCATTCAACAGAATCATTGTTTTCGCCGTGAAGTGTAATGAGACAGACAACATACACTAGGGTGTGTGTGCGAATTATGATTCACATTGGCAAACTATAAAATGTCTAGATATTACAGTTCTGTTATAAATTCACTATAAGTATCAGCAGATCGCCTGCTTTTTATTTAGTTTCAAAATGCATACAAGTATGATAATAAACTAATTAGGATTATAAGACCAAATATAAAGACGCACATTGACTAGTATCTACATACTGGTGAGTGGACATTAACCATGTGAATGTAGTAAGAAATTTATCGCGCAGTATTGTGACTTCGACCCCCACCTCGCTTCCGTGGAAGAAATCGTTATGTTATAAGTTGTGTCATGCAAAATCCGTTTGGTTATGATTCCAATACATATTTAACTACGAGTAGAAAGTAGTTTTGATTTTCTAACTTGATGAAAACAAACTATAATCTCATTAATTCTAACAGACTTTACGATTTTCAAAAAATGGCGGCGCCCTGTCGGGAACATCCGCCAGTGTGAGGATAAATGCTATTTAGGTTTGTTTTCACCGAGTTACAAAATCAAAACTACTTCTACTGGTAGTAAAATATGTATTTTATTGATGGCCAATAGGATTTTGCATGACATAGCGTGTAACATAACAATTTCTCTCCTGGCAGCGAGGTGGGTGTCAATATAATACTACTTACAATATTATTGTTACTTTGACCACAACCTCACTTCCGAGGAAGAAATCGTTATGTTACAAGTTGTGTCATGGAAAATCTTTATGGTCATCAATCATATACATATTTTACTACAACTAGTAAGTAGTTTTGATTCTTTAACTTCCGTGAAGCGATCTGAACACAAGTAACATATGGTTTCAGGCTTCCACAACGCTCGCTTCGCACTCATAAACATAACCCATTTAGCACGAACAGCGGGGTCCTGTGGAAATCTGTGCATGGTGACACCATCGCCCGACCCCTAGGAGCAATTGACGACAAAGCAACGATTCGGCCTGTCGTCGTTGATGTCGAGAAATCATCAAAATGATGAGCGTGCTACACACTTTCTATACAACTAACTGAAAATCGTTCCTCATATGACGTCACTGCAGTGCTCTGGCGACAGAGTTACGTAATCTGTCTGTGGTTTCGTTGGCGGGCGAGAGGGAAGCAGGCGACTTTTTGGCCACTTTTAATCGCTCGGTATTAATTAACCACAAGTTTTTAAAGAATAAATTGGGTGTTCCGCATAAGACTAACCACAAATCTTTCATATGTAATGGTTAAAAGAGTAACAAAAAACAAAGTTTATTGGTTCTTTAAGAAACTATTAACAGCTGAACCATATGTCACTGAACTTCTGCCTAGATCTCATCGCAGTACATTTCGCAAGTTACGATGTGGCACCTTACCTCTTGAAATA